TAAAATCAAATATTGATTTTCAAAAACCCAGTGAACACCCGCTAATACCTTCTTCTTATCCGCCACACTTCCAAAATTAAATTGGAAGAAGTTAGTTTTAAGCTCTCTCACCTCCATTTGGGTATGTATCTGCCATATTGACCCCATTGCTCTTCTAATACCTATGAGGCTTGCCCTTCTTTCTCCAATGATTTTACCGATTAAGCTCAGCCCGCATTCTTCATCTCCCAGCTTAACATCATCATCTCGTACAACAATCACCTCAGTCTCCACCTCTGATAATTCAATCTTCTTTAGTCGACTCCCCAGTTCTTCAGTAGCATTCATTGAATTGTTTTGTTCAGAGACATCATGCTCCATTTCTAAATACAGTACCCCCAAACCCTAACAAATCAAGAACTCTCAGATAACGAAAGAATAATGACAATACCCTCCCAAGATTCAGAAAATGAAGAAAATTAACCCCGAAGAAAGCCTACCCTCGTAGGAATTCGTCTCTTCTAAAAGAGAATAATCGCTCCCCTAACGAGAGAATTAGGTTATGGCTTTTAGTGGTCTTCGTTTTTAGTAGATATTTCTTCTTTTTTTTTTCACAACAAAATCAACTTTCTCTAATTATATTTTTAGTAGATATTTCTTCTTTATTTTTTTTATATATTTTGTTGACTTAACTTCCAACACAAAGACAAACAAAAAATAAGGTTGAAATTAATTTGTAGTGTTTTTCATTATACAAATCGAGCTTGAATTTGACGAGTTAATCAATATTAACAACTTGAATCTTGATGAGTTGAACTATTCGTAAAAACTTTTATTCAAAAGCTTCAACGAATCGAGTTTGACTTAATAACTAAACAAACTTTAAAAGAACACAACGCTATCCCGTCAACATATCGAATCAAGTTAAGATTTCAAGAATTTTCATTAAACAAAGAAAAAAACTATTTCCAAGCTTTGACGTGTCGAGCTCGACTCATTAAATACACAAGCTTTATACAACTCAAACTTTAACAAATCGAAGCTGAGCTCAAGTGATTAACTTAAAAAACTTCAAACAAACTCAAGTCAAACTCGAGTCTCTGCGAATCGAGCTAAGTTAAGATTTCAAGAAACTTCTTACAAATTCATATCTTCAAACCTTAATTAATCGAACTAAGTTAAAAGTTGAATAAATTTCATAAAAACTATATATTCTCAAGTCATTATTAAACTTGTCAATTACTAGTTTTGTTTAAAAGGTCGACAACACTTTGGGTATTTGATGAGCATAGTTTAATTATTATTATTATTATTATTATTATTATTATTATCTCTTATATATCTTATTGAGTTGGTTAGAAGAATCTTTTATTTAGAAGAATATTTATTTCTTGTTTATCAAGTTAGAAACTCTATTTATTATAAGTGTTACATGGAATGATCGATCAGTTGATTGAGAAAGAAAATCCGTTCTAGTGTGGTTTATCGAGAGAGAGTATCTCTTTTATCCTTCTCATTCGTAGGTTTTCCCTACATCAGTTGGTATCAACAGTCAGTACGATTCGCGATGTCGTCGGGACGACAAGATGCCGCAAACGAACAACGTGATGCAACCTTCAACGATCGGTTTCAACAGATTGACTACCGATTTCAAGAGTTGGACGTACGTTTCACGAATTGGTTTGCCGATCTTTCGAAGGGGATCGAGGATTTGCGTATGACACTTAACAACGTGGTTGTTACGGAATTGCAGACGGACCGCGATGGAGGCCGTGACTATCGCGGGGAGATAGAGGCGGTAGTGGGGGAAGCAACCATGTCGAGGCGCCCCGGCAGCGATCCTCAGCACCTCTGAAAAGCAACGACGTTGGCGACTCTACTGGGTCGACTAACCCGTTTACATATCGACCACCATGGCGAGGAGACGATAACAACCTAGGTCAGCCCCGAGTTCGCGAGCAGCGGCGGGCTGGAGGATTTTTCGGACATGGTGGCAAGCGCGACGACGAGAAAACCTTAGGGGTTGTACGATTTTGCAGTCAATAGCAGCCTGAGGAGGGTTTTGACTACCAATTTCCGTTCAATCACGCAGCCCGAGGTGGCGATTTCCGAAGAATTTCTTCAGGTTTAAGCCCCAATCGTGAATTTTGCATCAAACGACGGCCTGATGAGTGTTTTTCTTACCAATTTTCACCCAATCGCGCAACCCTAGATGGCAATTTCCGGCGAACTGCTGCAGGCGGAGGGTTGAGCAGAGCCCTTGACGATGATTTCTGTCGGGCTACAGAAGGCGATTTGGGCGCGACGGTGGCTGTAGGAGGGACGTCGCACCGCTGTTGACCGCGGAGACCTCCTTGGCTGCGAGCCGCGCTGGGCTGATGAGGGTTTTGCGACGGCCGAAGAGCGCGATTGGAGGCAGAAAGGTACCGGTTTTGGCGACAGCGGCGGCCACGAGGCTCGACGGGGCCAACCCTGGACAGCGGTGGTTTTTGATGGTTCTGGTTTTCACGATCAGTGGAGCGCTACTGCAGGTTTCGCCGGTGACGGCCGAGATGCGCGGCGAGGCAGTGAGAACGAGGCGAGATACGGAGGTGCTAAATCTTTTGGATTTGATAGAGGTATGGTACAGGTACAGAGTGCAGAAATTGTTGGCTTTGACCATGGGTTTTGGGCGTGTGAAGGTGGCAGATTTTTTAATAATTGTGGGCCTCAGGAGAAGCAGTCCAGCAGTGTGTTTTGGGCATGTGAAGTAGCTGCAGAAATTGGGCCTA